TTTGAGTATTGATTTGCAACTATGAGTAGTGTTTCATGACTTATTATTATGCACATGAGGAGGACGAAGGCGTTCATTCTTTTAGGTAGCCTTCAGAGTATTTAGATACATTTGTTCCCTTCTTGTTACCCATGTTGTTGCTTGTGCCCTTTTATTGTTTATATTAGCCACATTACAAGCCTATTTGAGCCCCATTGGTTACTAGTCCCAAGCTTGGCTTGGGGGAGCTATTAGTTGGTGAGGTGAGGGAGTTGTGGTGTGCACATTATTTGCACAATGTGGGAATAAAAGAAGAGTGTTTGTTCTTTGATTTTTGATTGGAAAATATTGATATGTTGTGTTTCAAAGTTGAAATTTCCAATATAAGTTGAAAAGAAAAAAAAAGAGCAAAAGAAAAAAATTAATGCTCTATTGGAAGGTTGTTCTAAAGAAAAAAAAAGAGAGAAAAAAAGAATGAGTTCAAAGTTTGTTTTTCACTCAAAGTTCTACATTATCATATTTTTATGAGTGATTGTTGTGAGTGTTGGGATTGTTTATGATGATTAGAGTTGTATTTGGTGGTTTTTGTTGGAGTTGGTTATGTTTATGGAGATGTATGATCATCATTATTTTGATCATGGGTTTATTAGGTTTTGGCTCCCTTAATGCATAGATTTTCTCTCATATAATCCCAAATATATCCTACCTTTACCCTAGTCTTACATTACAAGCTTAAAAGACCTTCCGACCTTGTGCATAGAAGTTATGTAAATGTGAAAGTGTTGTTTATCAATGCAAGTTATGACTTGGCATATTTCGAGTCAACTAGTAGGATGAGCGTTCAATGTTTTTATACACACGAGAGTGTGAGTTGGGAGGGCATTGTTCACATTAAAAGGGTGGTTGGAGAGCGATCGAGTACATCTTTTAATCGCCACATAAATGAGAGTTGAGTGTGTGAGCACTAGTCTTGAATTCTATATGCTCTTGTGGTTTGCTCTATTTGACAATTGTTAGGGAAGATTGGTAGTTGGATGGATTTGATTGGTTGACTTTGATACATGTTTGTCAGATTTACCTTGAATCGTATTTATTGATTTAATTATTATTGGGGTGAAGTATTGATTTATTTATTCATTGCTTTGCTTAGGGACAAGCAAAGGTTTGGCTTGGGGGAGTTTGATGAGTCTATTTTATATAGTATTTTACCCCCGTCCCTTGATCATAATTAGTAGTGTTTTTGGCACTTTAGAGCCACTTTTATTACTAATTGGTGTTTTCTAGTGTTTTCGTAGATTTGGTTGACTTTTGCAGGGATTTATGCTTTTGGAGTATTTTCTCGGGATATTCTAAAGCAACTACGGAAGCTAGAAGGACGCGACCACTTTTGGAGCCCAGGATCGGTGAGAGTCGGTGATTAAGGGCTCGGTAATTGGGATCCCGAGGCGTTTGGACCAAGTATTCGAGACCCGAGAGGCAACCCAGATTGGGCCGACAAATCTAGCCCAATCGAAGTCCAAGCCTCAAGAGGATCAAAGACCCGATCGGGCAACCTCTAGCCCGATCGGGCGCGGCAAACCATAGGGCTGCATGCTAAGGCGCGCCCGATCGTGTGAGCATCTAGCACGATCGGGCGATGCTGCTTGGGAAGAACGCGAAGAAAAAGGCGCGCCCGATCGGGCGACCCTTCGCCCGATCGGGCGCGCGTTTCTGGAAGACCTGATTTAGTTTAGTTTTAATTCCTGTTTTAGAAAACGTTTAAATACGATTTTGTACGGAATTATTAGGGGACCTTCTTTCTTAGACTTTCTCTCTCTAATGAGGATCTTTTCTCTCTCTTAACTCTTCTCTCTCTCTTAACTCTTCTCTCAACTTTTGTTCTTGATTATTTCCATTAATACAGATTAGTTTGGTAACGATTTCTCTTCTCTTTATCTTGTTTCCTTTCATCATGACTTATTTTATTGCTTTGATTTGTTTAGTTTTTAATATGTGTGAGTAGTTTTATTTCTAGGGTTTATGGGGATCCATAAATAATATGAAGGGGTAATTTATTGTTGTTAATTATCAATGCTAGATTAATTTCCTATTGATTGATTTAATGCTCTGTGACTAGATTTGCGCAGATCTTTTATGCATGAGTTTAACAATATTGATTCGAGATTCGACAGATGAGAATTGATGTTTAGGTCTAGTTTCAATAGGCAGGTTAATTTATAAATGGTTAAGTCGAGATTCCAGAGATAAGATTTAATACCGGTAGATTAATTCTATGATTGTAATACGTAGCGAAAGCCCTTTACAATCTGGTTAATTGATGCATTGATGATTAACTATTATTGATTATTGGTATTGCATGATAATTTCTTATTGAATTGTTTTAACGTTTTACAATTACGGCTTGTAAAAGTATAGCAATATTACATTGATGAATCGAGCAGATGTTAATTTGATATTAAAGGCTATTTTCAATAAGAACTTAGATCTAGTAAATTGCGAGAGCCTGTTAGATATATGTTGATTAATAAATTGCGAGAGCCTGTTAATCGTGTTATTTATGCAATGTCAATGATTGATTACTATGTTTTACCCTAGAGTATTATTTATTGGTGGACCTATGCCCTAGATCCTTTTATATATTGTTTTCTCCCTATTCCTATTCTTTGTAGTTTGGTTTCACACTCAAATATAAATATTGGTTACTTAGATAATTTAGATTATAATAATTAATTAGGAGTAAAAAGACTTGTTTCCCTGTGGAGATCGACCCTACTTCCCTATCTACTTTAGTTAGAGGATTTAGGTATTTACTTTTGATTAGGGGATACGACTTTACCCTGTCAAATACCTATCATGATACTACTTGGATTTAATTATTCAAAGCCTAGCATGTTCCTACATCAACAATTGAATACCAATTACGTAAACGTACCTTATCTCAAAATCGCTACGACTACACAAAATCACTCACTTGGAAATCTCCTACAATCAAAAATAACAGAAAGACATTAATACCTATTCAATTATTTAAATTTCCAGCAATATATACACTCCTTAAATCACTCATAAACCATTTAAAATAAGCTAAAATTTAATTTAAAACCCCTTACTTTAATCTCAATTAATGAATAGTCAAAAATCCCTTCAAGAAACTTAATTATGGCTTACTAACGAAATTCCAGCTTTATTAAATCATCAAAACTTGCTGTAAATATGTTTTAAAACGCCTATTTCAATAATTTAAACCACCCATAATCAATTTCCATCAATATACAATAATTTAAAAACCTAGGATTTTCAATTTGAGGCTTTTTAATTCAAAACCAAATCTAAAAATTTATATACATCATACTTATAATCAAACATCATAAAACCATCACAAAACCCAAAAACATCAATTATTTAAAGACTATCTTAGGATTAAAAACTAAAGAATTAAAATTTAATTTCTTTCGAGAGCCGCGCACAGCCCCGACATCACAGCAGTGATGCAGCCACGCCCCGTTGGTGGTGCCGCTGTTGACGCCGGCTTCACAGGTCGTGGTGAGCGACGTGCGTGCAAGGGAAAAAGAAGAGGAAGGGGAAAATAAGAAAGAAAAGGAAAAATATGACGAGAGAGAGTTACCTTTGGATATTCTCCACCTTGGGCAAAGTTTGATCGATTTTGCTCATATAATGAGTATTTATACCCTCTTTTAAAAACCCTCATTCCTAAAATTCCTTTCCTACCCTTAATAATCCCTTTCCAATTCAAACTACAATTTTGACTTTCCTTTAAATGCCATAGACTTTAAAAATTTTCTTTTAAAAATCATATGCCCAATATTTTTAAATTATAAAATAAAGTATTTCCAAAATTATTAAATAAATAAATTGGACCTTTAATAAAACTTTTTAAATCAATAAAACCTCATAAATAATTTATTTGAACTTATTTAAATACTTTGAGAAATACTATTTAAATTAAAAATACGTATAAAAATACGAGGTATTACATCCCTTTTCCCCATTCTCGCTTCCCCTAAACCCAAACCCAACCCCGACACCATCCCTCCGGCCCTCCCCCCTACCCCCCTAATCGAAAACGGCGAAATGACCCCTTCCCCCGTCCCCACCATGAATCGACCCACCCTCCTCTCCCCACCAAAAAATGTCACCCAAAACCCTAAACCTAATAGATTTGTTTTCTTCGATCGAAACATTTGGCAACCCAGTTCTGCTGGACTAAGCCCCTTGCTTAGGTCATTTTCGGTAGATGGAAAGAGGGAGGGGTGGAGGAACGAGAATGGGCAGCCATACCATATGTTGATATGTTCGCTAGCCGTTGGCAGGGGAGAGGGGGTTGTTCGTCGGCTGTTGGCAGGGGTAGCGGTTGAGATTTTTTATTTTATTTTTCTATTTCATAATCATTTAATTGTTAATTTAATTATGTTTAATAAATAATCAAAAACTAGATCTTAATTATTTTTTTTTTAAAAAAAGAACCAACAACGTAATAACACGTTTCATATTTTACCTTAATAGCTAATTACGAAGTATCTTTTAATCTAACAGGTTTCGTCTCATTTTGAGAAAATACCTTATAAAAGTCGACTTATTTTGAGTGAATAAAAAAGTTGACTTATTTTAAACTAACCACTCAAAGGTTGGCTTATTGTTTGGCAAATTTTTCTTACTCCGTAATTAATTTCAATGAATACTTAGGGTAAAATAAGATGATAAGCAAACAAATCCTAATTCCTAAGGGCTTGTTTGACATCAATTTTGGTTTTCAGTTTCCTGATTTTTTGAAAACCAAAAACCAAAAACAGGAAACAAGAAAAAGGAGTTTCCACTTTTCTGTTGTCAGTTTTCATAATTATCATAATTTTAATAAGTTTACATAATTTTTGATTCATTATGAGACTCATATCATATATTTTTAGAGAACAAAAAACCAAAAAAAGAAAACTACAACAATGCCAAACGAACCATTAACCAGCAAACCTTTTTTTGTTACAATCAAAGTCTCTTTCGGATAACAACAATCAAACACCAGTAACTAGGGTCCACTTATTACCACACCCACTGCGTAACACAAGATAACCTCTCCAGATAATTAAACTTTCTTAAATTTAAAAAAAAAAAAATAATTAAAAAAAATTTGTGGAGGAAAGTCCAAATCCCTTGTACCAATAACCAATCTCATTTCCACCCTTCACCCACCTTTCCTTGTTTCTCTCTCTTTTTCCTTTTCTCTCTCCTCCAACCCCATCAATGGCCGCCGAATCTCCTTCACCGCCGCCGTCGTCCCCTCCACCGGCGGCGATGGCGGCGGCGCAGTACTGGTGCTACCACTGCGACAAACGAGTCTCCGTCGAAACTCTTCCTGGTCAACCCGATGACGTCATTTGCAACGAGTGTAAGTTCGGCTTTGTCGAGTCTATTCCTACCACATCTTCTACCACCAACGCCGCCGCCATTCTCTCTCCTTCTCCTTCTCCTTCTGACCACATGGACGAAGGTACCCTCGGAAATACGTTTCTTCAGGTTCTCCGCCTCCTTGCTGAGGTGTCGCGTGAAGACCTCGCGCCGCGGCCTCCACCGCCGCCTCCTCAGGCTAGACCTCTTAACCCTGCTGATCCGTCTCCGGCCGATGAATCTGACTTCTTACGCATCGTAATCGACGGCTGGGATGAAGACGAAGAAAGCAACAACCGCAACGTTAATCGCGAAGATGAGGATGATGATGATGAGGAGGAGGACGATGATGATGATGAGGATGTGCGGAGTGTTGAGATCGAAGGACAGTCTGATGATGATGAAGAGGAGAGAGAAGAAGATATTCGGCGGCGGCGGAGAGATGTGCTCCGTCTTCGACTCCGCGATTTCGCTAATCGTGCTCGAAGTGAAGGGAGAAACAGGATCTTAGATTGGGCGGAAATTCTGATGGGATTAGAGGATAATTCAATTGAATTTCGCTTCGAAATGCCGGAGACTACGGATCGGTATATCGGACATCCGTTGGATTATGTCGATGAGGCCGAGTACGAGGCGTTGTTGCAGAATTTGGCGGATGCGGAGGGGAGGAGAGGGGCGCCACCAGCGGCGAAAGGGGCAGTGGAGTGTTTGAAAGTAGTGGAGATCAAGACGGTGGATGAGAGTTATGTGTGCGCTATTTGCAAAGATGGAGTTAATGTCGGGGAGTTTGTCAAGGAGATGCCTTGTGGACATGGATATCATGGCGATTGCATTGTGCCGTGGCTCGAGGCGAGGAATTCGTGTCCGGTGTGTCGGTTCGAGTTGCCAACGGATGATGCTGAGTATGAGGAGGATAGGAAGAAGAGATTTCCTGCATTTCCTGGTAGTTCATCAGGGTCTGCTGGTGGGAATTCAGTTTGAATTGAATTATATGGAAGAAGAGAAAGAAAGATAGAGGTGAACTTCTTGATAAATTAGCTCTCTCCATTTTGTTAAACCCTTTTGGATTGTAGTATTTCTTCGTGTTGTTTTCTTTCTTTGTTTTTGTAATTGTATGAAACATGTTTTATGCTTTGATTTTAATGTTTGTCAATGTAAATAAGTTCTTTTATCTTTATGATCATAGTATTTTGTTGCTTGTATGGTTTAACTTGTGGAGAATTAGGCTTTGTATTTATCTATAATAATCAATAAAGAAAGTAAAACTTGCTCACTATGTTGTTTGTGCATTGTTATGGGTCTAAATTTGCTCCATTCACATTTAAAGAAGTTTAAAATTTAAGTCTTTGGTTGTTGGTTGTTTAGTTTTGCTTTTAAGCATTGTTGGTCACATATTGATGATGGTGATCAATTGCTTTGCTAGTATGTTGTTTGATGTGTGACTGAAATTTGGAAAGCAAGTATATTTTGATGTTGAGTTTGGATTCCAATCTCAGAACTTGGTTGCATATATGTTACCTGAAGGCCATAACCTGATTTGAAGGCATATAAGTTCATCTGTGCACATATGAACTTATTGTTGGATAGATTGTTATTTGTACTTAATACCTGTTATTGGAACTTACTTGATTGAACATTATTAAGGGTGAAAAAACGTGGCATAGTTCTGTGTTTATAGTTTTAGTTTGGAAAGCTGGAGTTTCTCTAGTTGAGGCTGTTTATGTCACCTCAATCAATCATCGGTGCCAGCTGAGATTTGTGACATAGTTTCTGTTAAGAGCTGTGCTGCCATCTCGGAATTCGAACTTTGAACCTGTTAAAGTACTAATTGATGTGTTGTAGGTGATTTTTCAGAGTAAATTTGGGCTATTTTAAACATGTGATGGCTTTGGGAAACAAGGTTGGACTGAGTTGGATAGATTTTCTAGCTGTTTGTCTAGGTGCTTATGTGAGAGAGGTGTTAGACAAGGAAGGGGGAGTAGACTTTATTTGAGGAGAAAATGCTTGCTTTGCATGTTTGAACACGAGGCAGTTATGAGATGGTTAATAATGAGGGTTGTACTGGTGTGTTGATTATGTCCAGAGTCTCCAGACGTTCTATATTTTTTGGGTACTAGCTTTGACTGCTAAGATTTCTTTTCTTTTACCAGGGGTGGGGGGAGGGATTGCTTTAAGGCAGGCACTGGGATGATTTGTGCAATACTATCATTAACTAACCTGTATATATCCCACTGAGGTAAGGTCTCAGCAAGTCTAGATGTTCGCTGCCGTTACTCCTAAGCAATCAACACAGGAAAAAAGTGAGCCTAGGTGCCAAAGCCCAAGGTGATTCGGGTTAAGTACTTATTTTGGGGATCTCTCCTTGCTTTGATGAGGCATGAGCCTGCCCTTTATGTCTGGGCTTTAGGACTCCTGTGCCTTGTGCTTCTTGAGCCTTTTCATATTGGTTGAAAACTTTAGTGTCTTTTTTCAACAGAATTGTAAGTTTTTTGGAGTTTGTGGGTACTTTTTTTTTCCTCGGGGCACACATTCAAAAGCTAAGGGGATATAAAAGGGATGAAGGCTCTTGTGCCATCTTTACCTTCTTTATATCTTTTTATTATAAGAGACCATGACCTTCAGAAAATGATTCATGGAGTCATGTTATTCCTCATACTTGTTTCTTGTTCTCTATGATTTTTCTGTATCCTGTTACTACTTGTTGGATGGAAAAAGGGTCTCAGGCCTCCCTAAGCTCATAAGTGATTAATCATTCATATTTCATATATTTTTGTAGCCCTGGTCCCTGGATTTTTGAGCAAATTATCCAAGGCCGTCATCAGTCTCAGCACATATTTGAGTTGGTTGCTTCTTGTTTCAACTTTTTACTCCTGCTTTATACTGCAGAGTTAAATGTTTCCTACTTGGCCTCACTGTGAACTGTTTGATAAATGGCTAGATTTATAGGTCAACTTTTTGGTTTGAGTTATTTTTTTGCTCCCCTGAATAGATTTGTCATTGATCTGCTTGGTTTTATTCCTTGTTATCAATATCTTGGGTCTGCACCTAAAAAATAAAAATGTATTTTGTGAGTTCTGACTTCTGAGGTGTTGATGACTTTCATATGCTTGTCATTGCATTTGTTGCAAATATAATGTCATTGCATTTGGCATTGAATATGAATCCTGTTTTTCACATATTTGCATATGTCAATTGTGAAGGCTTGAATCTTCCTCCTGATCTTATAAAAATATTTTTATTTTCCTTTGGTATATATTTACCTAATATGTGGTTCTATTATATTCATGAAAATGCGTCTCTTTAGCAAGTTGTGTTTACAGTTATTGCTCATGAACTACAGAACTTTATCATTGATACAAAGCTTACTGAGCAGCTATGTAGCATTTCATGCATTGCAGCCTGAAGTGCATATAAATACATTCTTTATGGGATGGGTTTGTTTCATACATTGATTTACTAATTACTTACCAACAAAGGCCACAATTACTGATTATTGTTTTTTTTAAATCTGATTTGTAATCAGAATATCAGATACTGTCTGGGACTTGGTTGTCATTGATTTTGTACAGATTGGAGGCATGCTATTTTTTTTAATTACACCTTTTCTTTTTGTATATTGTTTAATCTCTTTTGCTATACTTCTTGTTAGGGAGTATATCTTTTTCTTTTCTTTTCGTTTTTTTTTTTTTTTTTACTACTGTGTCGAAAATATCTGAAGTAGGTGCCGTTTCAAGATTTTTTTTTTTTCGAAAGTGGTTCTAGCAATAGTTTTTGTAATGGTAAAATTTATTTTTGTGAAGTGGGTAATGCCATAATGTATTCCCTGTGCTCTCTTAATAGTTTTACACTTAATACTGGTTGTAAAGACTGCTGAAATTTGATAATTTATTCAGCAGTTTATTCAAAGATGTATTGAATTGGTGATGTCAATCAGCAACAGTGTATGAGGCGAACATAATAAAGCAAGCACCAATTGAAGCCGCCTTTCTATTGTGAGTGTCTTCTCAACAGGTCCAAAGTTTATGACAAGGCATGCCTTCTGGTTGATTGGCAATATAAATAAAGCAGCTGAGGAATCCCATTTGGTCATAATCTTCCCTTGTATAATTGATATTGTAACAGATTTGACATATGGAGTATTTTTTTTCTTTTTCTTTTCCCCTTCCCCTTCTTCGCACCCCCCCCCCCCCCATCCCTTTCCCCCACCGGGTTTTTCTCAGTTTGGAGCATCAGAATTTTAGTCTTGGATGGTGCCATGTTGAGGTTCTTTTGAGCCCTTTACTTACATCTGTGGTTTGAAGCTCAACTCATGTCGCATCACTGATGCATAGAAGTTTCGACATAGGAGTTGTCACCCATGTCAGTTGTCATAGTAGTCGAGGGGCATTACACACTGTTCAATTGAGCTGTGATTTATGAGATGAGAAACAAAATTTGTATCACAGTGCATTGGCTATTATGCAATCTGCATCTGCAGCATTTGGGAAATTGGCAGTTTCAGTGTTTTTTGTGACTGATTTCTGACTAGTGTCCCGGTATTGGATCTTGTATTGGAAATTGACATTCTCCAGGAAAGCAGCGCTCATGCTTTTTTAGGAAATATATGCACAGTTTGTTTGATCCAATGTGTTATGTGTATGGTGGCCCCTTTCACTAAATCTGAGGGAAGACTCACATGGAGAGTGCTGTTTCTTATCTCATAGTTGTGGAACCCTAAAATAACGACGAGTTAACACATGTACGCTCTACTACTGTCAGAATTATCAGTATACGGATAACATACTTGTATACGGAAGTATTTGCTCTACTTCCCAATAAATCCTCTGTTTTTAGGATTTCTTTTTGTTTTTGATTTTGAACCTTTATGCAAGTGTTTTACGGTTTACCACTACCATCTAAATACGATTATTATTCTTTCAGAAAAAAAAAAAAAAAAAAAAACGGTTATTATTAGTAACATATTACGGAGTATTAATTTGATTAGTTGTTTGACACTTTCAAATAATATAATCATATTTTGAATGATATAATTTCATTTTTAGATGATATAATTATCTTTTTGTGAGTCATATTTTGAATTATATAATCTCATAGTAAATAATTTAATGAGATTATATAATTATCTTTAGGATGATAAAATTTAAAAATCATCTTTTGAATGATGTAATTTACTATTTGATACTTTTTATAATTATAAATTCACTTTTTGAGTGATACATTTACATAACAGTTTCAACATGATATAATCACTTTTGTAGTAATATAATCACATTTCGTATGATATAATCACATTCGTATGGTATACTAGAAGGTTTGGTCTACAATAAGTTATTGTAGACCGGGTCTATTCTAGTCTTACCTTAATTTGATACTCTTAAATCAATTACTTAGTCAAGTCAAACAAAAATAACTTCCAACTATCATCTTAGTTGAGAACAAATCCATCGTTTGAATAGATGCAACATCTTAATTAGGAATAACTTTTATCAACGGAAGGAGTAAATTAATTTATTGAAAATAAGTTTTTAAGAAAGTAACTTATTTCATTTATAAATTTAGCCGTGTCAAATTGAAAAAAAAAAAAAAAAAGCCGTGTCAAAAAATAAAAACATCACACACGTAGCTAAGTGATTTATAAGCAATAAATAATGTGTATTCATTTTATATATATAAAAAAAAAGTTTTCATAATGATTATCATATTATTGTAGTAATAATAATAATAATAATAAAATTACAAACTGAATGCTACAGTAATAATTTTCTCACATGAATGCGTAGGACGTTTTTTTTTTTAATATATATATATATATAAGGGAAAAGATTTCTATACATTTTACGTCCAATAACATCCAAAATTGTATACGCAGTCTATCAGTTTAAGATTGAGCTTGTGGAATTGAGACTATGAGAGCATATTCCATCCGATTAGTCCACCGATTAGAACAAACTGCAAAACATGGACGAAATCATGTATCACATAATAAGTGGCTCTTATTATCGTTATTGTCATAAGAAAAGAGTGCTTAGATATTTGGTAAACATGCATATTATAAGTATTTTCTGCATTAAGAACATAACTACTGTACTGTAGATTCAATCAATTTGTTTGTGGATGTGTGTGTCTGCTGTGAGTGTGCGTGTGCGTGTGCGTGTGTATTTTCCTGCAGTGGTATCCTCTAGATTATATGCAAGATGAAAAGAGCTGAGAAAAGCTAACTGACCTTCATCAAAGGCATGTTTTGTATGAGAATGGATGGCCAACCAAAATATGGCATAATCCTGTTGTATTGAAAATTTGTTTAGCAATATTGAAACTTTATCATAATAAAGTTATAAAAGAAAGGAGTATTGAAAGTGCATTGCTTTTAGTATGAGGGAGGGGCTTTGAGTAATAGACCCTCGTTAAAGGCGACTGCAAGATGCACTCTGGAATATTGAAGCTTTTGAAGGTGGCTTTAAAATTAGTCAATCAAAACACACCTCAAGATTGTTAAACATAAAGAAAAGGAATACTTAGAAGCACATTTACAAAAGGTTCATATCAATAAAATGATTCAATTCATCAGGATAAACAATTAGGATTGTATTGATTAGTAATGTAGAACACCTAATTATCTAGTTATATATTCAGTTCAATATACCAAGGTCATTCTGTACCAGTAATTTTACATTCCTTTTATGTCAAAAATAACATAATTGTAAATTTTTTAAACAGATCACTCACATAAGACACCTACCCTTAATGATGAATTTGATCAACTATCGATTTAAAATTAACCAGAAAGATCGAGTCCAATTATCTAGGATAGAGGCTTTTCATTCATGCAGCAATTGAGCAGCCAATGAAAATAATGGGAGAAATTACTAAGAGTACAAAAGGACAAGTATGTCGCTTGTATTAATGAGATTATCTTACTAGAGTGGTTAGGTTCTTCCTTTATTGAATCAACAAAATTATTCTCTAATTTATTTATTTATTTTTTTTTTTTGGTGCTCAACAAACTTATTCTCTAATGATATAACAGAATTAATTTGCGGATTTAAAAGAGGCAAGGATAGAGGAACAACAAGAAAATTTGTTAAGAGTGAAGCAAAATATGGAGGGAGATAAAAGGTAAATCAGGGGAAAGTTTCAGCCAATGAAAAGACAAAAACAAAGATTCCAGTAACACATAAAAGCTTAATTATGCAATATAAGATTACAAGTACACTTACCCTATCACTCTTCCAGTTATATCATCATCTTCAAGCCATAGTTGGCCATCTGCATATATCCCCCCATAACGGTCATCTACCGAATTAGCATCCCCTGAAACATAACGCACACATCAGTAGTGTAATTGTGTAAAACTGGGAAGGATAAGGTACACATTGCTATTAGAATTAAGAACATAACATTATAAACACAAGCTACTGCACATTTGGCCAATTTTTGGGTTACACTATTACACTCCCTATTCGGCTATTCCTTGGAGCTTAAATATATTTTTTTTTTAGCAGGCACAAAATTAGTAATGAGACCAAGACAGATCATCAAGCAATGCAGAAAAGAATTAACCATTTTCTTCTCAGGCTGCAGTAAGGTTAGAATCACAGTTCTCATATCTCTTTTAGTAGTCATCTAGTCCACATGCCGTCCCATGTGCATAGCCAATCGTAACACTGCCTTTATTACTAGTTTTCCGGCTATTGCAGATCCCAAATATCATCTTGTTAATGTCCAATTAACTGCCCCTAAATGATCCCTTGACGTGACTCCAAAACAAATGGCGTTGTTGAGGTTTAATTCAAAAACTAGTTGGTCCAGTACTCGAATGCACCCTTGTGCTTCATGACATTTTCTTTTGTTGCTCCCAAGCCTTCATAAATTGCACTGACATACAGGAAGCCCTATGTACTAGAGTCTGTTTTTATATCTCAAATAATCCTACCTAAGTAATACTACGTATTTAACATTTACCTTTTGTTAACAGAATGAATTTGTTGGAAGCTTTCTGCCTTTGGACCTGCACAAAGAGCACAATACATCAGAAAAGTTGAGCAACATTATATTTATTAGATGAAAATTATACCAAGGCATGTATAGTGTAGGATTTTCATAAAACTTTCAAGAAAGATTTGACAGAGGTTAGCACAGTCAATAAGAGTTGGAAATTCCCAACTAAACCTTTCAAGAAAGCTACTTAAAGTTGCGATTAATAAGAGACTTATCCCTAAAATAATAAGCTAGAAACTTAGAAAGATATCATGATGTTTCTTACCTTTATTACACGATGAACTATAGGGATTTCCTTACCCTGAAATAACAAATGCAAATAAAGAGAAGTTAAGTAGAAATTTCGATTGAAAGAGATTGAGTAAATGGGATCAAACCATAACAATATGTCACCGATTTGCTAACTTTTATACCAATGTGGTTAATTGGCTGGCTAACTTTTATAACCAGTATATTGTATTATTATTGAAAAAAAAACAGTATATTTGTAGTACTCCCTCCATCCTCAAAACTTCGACGTCAAGAAGAGTAAAGATATATCAACATCAAGAAAAGTCCAATAAATTAAAAAAAAAAAGGAAGAACAGACCTCAATTTTGAACAATAAAATTTCTCCCGTTTGAATAGGATGGCTTTTTATGGTACTAAGGAACAATAAATCACCCTACACAATAATATAATACGAGTACTTTTAATATCAAAATAAAAATAAAATTATTAATCGAAACTTGTATTAATTATTAAAATAAAAATTATTGAAAAAGAAGGCGGACCTTTCGAATTCCAGGTTCCATGCTTCCGCTAAGAACAACACTAACAGGGTATTTAGTTCCGGTTACCAGAATTAACAACTGCCATGTCATCAACACCGATGTAACAAGTAAACCTGTCAATACCATCAATTTTCTTTAGGAAATACTTCCCTATCTTATGCTAAGACAACGCAATTGACCAAAAAATACTGAAATAGGGTAAGTAAAATGAGACAGATTGAATAGCAAATTTAGCACTAACCTAAACATACCGTGTTAGCAGTGTGAACTAAGAGTTTTATCTCATTATGTACCACCGCTTTTAAAAAGCAACAAATAAACAGTATAATGAGCATGTATTGAATTGACAATTAATAGTACGTGTATTTACGTCTTTAAGCAACAAATAAACGATATAATGAGCATGTATTGAATTGACAATTAGTATTACTGGCATGTACGTCTTTAAGCAACAAATAAACGATATAATGAACATGTATTGAATTGACAATTAGCGGGTATAACCAAGAAATCAAATACGGATTGAAAAAATCACCTAATTCTATGAATTTCGTTGCCGCACCTCTCGACGGAATTGAGCGGTGTGATAGTTTAACGTAATCCAACATCTTTGTTTTATTTTTCTTGGAACAAGAATGATGGAGGGACGAAAGTAATCGGGTTGCAGAATCAATAATAAATAGTACAAGGAAGGCGCCTAATTTTAAATGACGGATGTGCTGCTTTCGTATTGGTTGATGTTGTGTCTATTTCCTACATGGCGGCTCTTTATTGGTATGCTGAGGACTTTTGACGGTGTTAGACTTTCATGCTCTTAGGAAATAAACTAAACTTACCAAATATCATATCATGTAGTCATGTACTCCATATCTTTTATTTATTTTCAATTTTATGCTTTTCTAATTAGATGATATTTCAAACTCAGAAACTAGATAAATTTTAAATATATAATTTATTTAGAATTATTTAGGATTAATTTATTTAGGATTATTTAGGGTTGGGGAGCAAGTAAAATATCCAAATAGGTTTCCAAATTAGCTTAAAGGGTTTAGCAGTTTGGGGTTATTTCATACGAGCAATTGATTTATTCATCCGATCCATTTGCTTCAACTTCTTTTTGAGTTTTGACCTCTTGAATCTCTTGAAAAAAAAAAAAAAGAAAAGAATATTTCCAAATAGACATAAAAAAAAATTCGAAAGTTTAAGGAAGTTTAGCTATTAATCATGTTTTGGGGGTTTATTAATGAGCTATTTATTTTATTGACATCTAGCTATTGACTATTGAGTAAGCTAGCTAATTTGCTGACACATAACTACCAAATATGACACTATTTCTTGTTGACACATTTGATGATATTTTTGTGTCTGACAAAACTAATAATATAGATTTTCGAACTAAAATAGTCTTACTTGAACCTAAGCCTACTACAGTAAAAGATTAATCTATCTCATCTACACTTATTTTACCAACTAATAATCAAATTAATGTTTTAGAGAAAAAAAAAATATATTTTTAAAAATTAGGAAAAATTGATTTTTACTACCTATCAAACACATCAAATTGAATTTTGCTACCTATCAAAACTTTTATTTTATTTTGCTACCTAACATATGCCCTTTTTTTAAATTTTGCTACCACCGTTAAGGAATCCGTTAAGTGGGTCCATAACGATACGTGTCGTATTATTATTGGCCAAAAAAATTAAAAAATAAATAAATAAAAAAATTTAAAAAAAATAAAAAGAAAAACCTAAACTACCCAGCCACCACCCCCTTCCCCCCAACTCACTGCACCCCTCCCCGAAACCACCATCCGCGTCGCACCACCAGCCCCAACCCACCTGAACCCTCCCCCTCCCTTTCCCGCAACCGCGTCGCCCCCAAAACCGCTAAACCCAAAACCCTCGTCCCCAAAAACGGCCAAGAATCTGGCCTTGAAAGGCCGAAATCGGCCGGTTAAGGCCACTGAGCCCCAAAACCGGCCGATTTCGGCCATTTGTGGCCAGATTCGTGGCCGTGGTGGGATCTAGGGTTTTAGTTTTGGTGGTTTTTGGGGGCGACGCGGTTGCGGGAAAGGGAGGGGGAGGGTTCAGGTGGGTTAGGGCTGGTGGTGCGACGTGGGTGGTGGTTTCGGGGAGGGGTGCGGTGAGTTGGGGGGAAGGGGGTGGTGGCTGGGTAGTTTAGGTTTTTCTTTTTCTTTTTTATTTTTTAATTTTTTAATTTATTTTTTTAATTTTTTTGGCCAATAATAACACGACACGTGTCGTTATGGACCCACTTAACGGATCGGTGGTAGCAAAATTTAAAAAAAGGGCATATGTTAGGTAGCAAAATAAAATAAAAGTTTTGATAGGTAGCAAAATTCAATTTGATGTGTTTGATAGGTAGCAAAAATCAATTTTTTCTAAAAATTAAAATACACTTATATTCTAGTTTCTCTTTATGTAGGAAATGGTTTTCATTTAACTATACGGAGAAAATATTACTAGACAGATAAGACAGTAGTGCAGACCAAGATTGTAATAGAAGTGGTAACATATTGAACTTTAAAAAAAATGCCATAAATATTACTCTTAAAAAAATGCTATTAATATTACTGCCAATCATCTTTTACAACTTAAAAAAAATGCCATTATATCGAACAAAAATGAAAAAAATGCCATTATAAAGCTTTTCCTTCGAACCGCAGCGTAGTCACATAGCATATAAACCTCAAAGCCCGCCAAATATACAAGGACAGGCCAGGTAAAATTCAGTATCTAGCATGCCCACTGTTATCCGTCCTGCTGAGATGCAGAACAATTGCAACTCTTTAGTTACTCTGAAGATTGCCCAACAAAATTGCACTTCACTTTTAAAAAGTAGATTTTCCATGGAAGTTGAAATCGCCCAAGTTCATTTCTTGCCTGCCTCCAAAACTTAGTCAGAGATCTTGACCTGGATAAAATGCCTACCTTCGCTTATACCTGCACATATTGAATAAACTATAAGAAAACATGTACTTGCAACAGAAGAATTCAAATCTCAACAGGACACAAATTGCTTGCATCATCTACAAGTGAGGATTAGCCACTACCAATGTCGCACCCCCCAATAGAGTGGCACATATCAGATAAAGGGCTGGGTGAGGACACTTAATATGGAAACAAAGGGGCAGAAGGGAGAATCACCCAGAAGTGAGAGAGTGACCAGAAAGTAGAGACCTACTAGCAGCCACATAGGCAGCAAAAGGGCCAGGCAACAGAGAAATGGAAGGGAGGAGAGGGGGGGGGGGATTCTGTCAAACTGTTAGAAAGAACAAACATCAACCAATGAACTTCAGATGCTTGTACCCATGGACGGAAACTACCAGGGTGTGAAGTGTGTTTGTCACCTACATGTGAGTACTATACCCTACAAATTCTGAAATCTTTTAATAAGTATACATGTTATATGTGAAGCATCAGTAGCATAGTTATACCTTGATTTACTCTTAAATGAATTCCTTGACTTCTTTTGAACATGCTGAAGGTTCTTTTTTCCCCGTTTCTCACTCATATCAGTCAGGAATAGCTCCTGCATCTCATCTGTTCTTGACTGAGGTTGTGCTGCTTTCTTCCCCATCTTTTTGATATTTTTACCACCATCTTGTGCTTTTTTCCCAGCCTTGATTGCTTTTGCTTTGCGATAGGCAACCTCGACAAGCGGTATTCCACTTTTATCTTTCTTACTCTTTTTATTTTCCTGCCATCACACAGATGGTTGATTAGAAAAAATAATGTAATTCCAAACAAAAAAAGATAATATGATGCTGATTAAATCAACTATCCAGAAACAAAGCTATTTCCCAATGTAGCATGTAAAAATGAGAGATTCAGGGCCTGAGGACATGGAAATTAGAAGAAAAGGGGCATGGTGAGCATGTGGAGCAATAGCAGTCAGGATGCCAATCCAAATTGCAAGCAGAAAAGTGTAAATAAGCTTCAATAATATAGCCCTAGATACCAATTCAAATAATTGAAAAAAGTCTTCCGTGAGATATCAAGTATAAATCCAAATACACATTCATGAAAGCACAAGATTGATACTCACCCCTTCTGAATCATCAGACTCATTTTCCTCTTCCAGCATCTCTCTCTCCGCTTCCAGCTTTCTGCGCTTTTTCCGGGGCAAGTTTTTCTGCTCAAAGACAAAGTATAATAATGAGATTTTATCACCATAGACCATTACACAATTGCCAGATAATATAACGGTGGGAAATAGGACAAATACCTCACGCTCTCGTTTCCTCTTTTCCTTCAATTTCAAATCTTCTGCTTGCTGGGCACTGACAACGACATTACCAGAATTTTTCTTCGTCTCCGAGTATCCCTATTGAATTTATATATTTAGTTTAAATCAAGAATCAAACGCTCAACAGACAGAATATTCTGCATCCTAAAAAAAGAAAAGAAGATTTTCTTAAATGTCATAATTAGCATTAGATAAGAGCTTTCTTGACTCAAAGGCTTTATAAAGTAACGCCATTTTTCTTGAAGTTAAAATGGACAATTTAAGGCGTCTAGTTTTAACCAAGCTTCACCAAATAGTATTTAAGGGATTTAGTTTGATATACTTTAACATTCAAGAGCCTCCATAGTTACCCCCATCAAGTTAATATGGAGGCTCTTGAAAAAAGGGGTCAAAACAGATTCAAAATTAAGATTCCTGAAAGCGCTTTACAATCTGTAGGTAAAAAAAATTTTGAGAATGTATCCTCTAGATGCAATCATAGAGAGCACCATAAAAATATGGATAGGTGGCCTGAACAATAATATTGTGGTAATATTTAACGAAAAATACTTATTGAATGGCATTTCCAGCAAAGGTGTAAACACAATCACAATGTATTGGGAGCTAAAGCAATTCGTAGCAATACCGATGGTAAACAAACTACAGCTTCATAGCAAGACAAACAAAGCCATATGCCCATATCCTTCTTCAGTTTCTCAAATTAGTGTCCTAGTAAAAATACATTTCAGACAGTATAATATTCTGATTGAAATTTGTAAAATTAAGTGGAAATTACCTAATCATTACATCCCAGACTATAATATTCTGATAAAATTTTTAAAAAATCAGGAAATAAAGTGGAGACTATCATAAAAGCATTTGAGAAGAACACGAACAACCAACAAAAGAGAATAACTTAACAACTACCTAATTCCTACTAGCAAGTTTTTGTTTTGGCGGCACAGCCAATTAATGGAACTGTTTGGAAAATCCATCCAAAAGGCCACCACCCCATAAAAGCATTTGAGAAGAATTCAAACAACAACTATACAACTACCTAATTCCTACTAGCAAGTTTTTATTTTGGCGGCACAGCCAATTAATGGAACTGTTTGGCACATTCACCAAATAAACATAAGAAAATTGATGGGTGTTACAAAACATATATGGAAAGAATTTAGAGAGAACTTTTATATTTTCCTACGAGGGAAATGGGAAGACCAATTAGGATCAGAGTGGGTAGGATGGTAGAAGGGGTGGAACCATGAAATGGAATGGGTTTTCTTGGACAAAGATACTAAAGGGGCGTCTGATTGAACAAAGTGAAAGGGAAAGAGTCTAAGAGCATCCACAATGGTTGCATAAAAGAACCTACTTGCAATTCCTAAATAATATAGAGCTACATGTTAGGCATTGCAGAGCTACATAGGTTGTAGCTAAGGCCAAACTACATAGCTCTAGTACACTCCACGCAATACACATATATTGATTTGTCTCATATTTTTTATGTATATTTTTAATGGTTTATTTAAAATATTACAAAAGAATTTAGCTTACCATTTTAGAGGTTATAGCTTAAATCATGTAGCTTGGAGATAATGATGTGGCAACCCAAAGCTACATGTAGCTAGCCATCGTGGATGCTCTAATAAAGGAAAACAAGGTGAATGGAAACCCAAACCCCAAAATTTACAAAGTTGTTTGTCTTAAATAAGAAAGGGAAAATCATCCAACAACCTAGACTTCCCTTCAACCACCAGCCCACCACCACCACCACCCTATGCTTACATCTACCCTTTACAATACAGAACTGCCTTGTTGACAATACAGGAAAGTGAGACATAGCATGAAAATTGGTGCTCAATGAAGAACGATATGAAACATATAATGATGTCTTCAACAATGACAACTAAATGCAAAGATCTGAGTTTGGCAGTACTTCCATAGAGAAAGAAATTATGAGCAGGGAAGATATGAGATACTACTTGAAGGGCAATATCTTGACTAGGAGGGTATGATAATGACCACTCCATTTTTTTTTAAATAGTTGTTATCATACTCATCAATACGATTTTTTAGGCTATAGTTGGAACTTGGAAGAAGCACCACATATTTTGAAGGTAGGAAGCATACGTGAATTAGTAAAAGGGTTTATTAGGAATGGCTGCAAGTATTTTATAACTCAAAAAAGTTCTTAGCTTAAAAAATGTACTGCAGGCTATACTGTATCTTATGATTAAACAGCAGATGAGTATCTTTTGCAAGTGGTAGACTGGTAGGTGCTCTTTTCCTATTGGTTAGTGGCATCATAGTACATATAGATATTGTGATTTTGTGGCATCATAGTACATACAGATATTATGATTTTGTGGTATCATAATACATATAAATATTGTGATACATGAATCATATACTGAATGTCAGATTTTAGTTACATTTAGCATTGTTATGTTCGTATAAATCTCCAGAAGTAGAGACCTTTATGCCAGACTTATCAGATAAGTTAAATCTGACCTATAATAAACAGACATTTAGAGGCATATTCTTCCTAAGAGGCAAGTGTGATTTATAATATATGTCCCCTTTATGACATTTTATACAGATAATCCAGAATGGAACATCTTGTCTTTTAATAGCCACTGCATCACATGTTAAGAGAAAAGATAATACAGCTGACTCACAACTGCACCATTGATCGATGATAAAAAAGTTCTAGCACTTCAGTAGCGGAGTCTCATCTTTCTTCTATTTGTTTCAGTGAGATAAATGAAAAATGAAAAGTAAAAAGGATCTCAAGTATCTTGTGATATCAGGTTATTGAATTGAAATATATAATTAGCAATCTATTCCAAAGTAAGAGCATCATCACCATGGCTTCTAACTACAAGAAATTCACAATAATATCAAGAGACAGTACCTTCACCTCCTTTGCAATTAAATTCTTTTCCTTCTCTGTTATAAACCACGTCTTTTTGGGCCGGGAAAATATTTCTTCCCTGTGCTCAATCATATTTTCAGCCTGAAAAAATGAAAGTAAATGTACATGTCAGCAATGATGGAAAGTTCTATATATCTGGATTCTGAGATAAAAAGCAGAACACTAGTGGCCAACAAGTAGTAACATAATGGAATTAGTTAGCTTAAAGATAATCTCTTAAACTTATACTCCAACTCCTGGCAATGATTTAGGATATGATATTCAACCAAGTTCATAACTTCATAAGAAAGTGAGAAGATCAAAATCTTCAATATTTTTTTATAGCAATCCTCTAGGATGTTAGATCCAAGCATGTCAATAAATTTACAACTTTTTTTTTAGTTTTTTATTTTTTACTTTTTATTTTTATTTTTTTGACAAGACAAGTTAATCCAAAAAGTCACAATCCAAAAACTTCAAAGTTAAGATGTTTTAAGATGCAATTTTCATAAGTTAATCCAAAAAAAAGTCACAATCATTCATGCTAGGACAATAAATCATCAAAGACGAGAACTTTATGCAAATGCAAACCACACTATCACTGCATATAATGCTTCAATGGACTGATCAAGCTATTACATTCCCAAAGTTCTAGATTCAATTAACATTCAGACACAGTATTTAATTATGGATTTTATGGACTTCTGATGGATAATGTAGTGTATTTTCCAATCACTATAAAAATCATAATCTGGTTGATAATTACCAAGCCAAAAACTCCAATTTGCAAACAATTTGACATCAAATGGATGTGAGGGGATAGTAGTGTTTCCATGCAGAAAGAAAGAAACAAAGCATAAACAAACCTTTGCTGCTTCCATCTCTGCTTTTCTCAAAGCCATTTCTTCTTTCTCTTCTCGAAGAATAGTAGCAACCTGATCTTCCATCTGCTCAATTGTTTGTGCCCACTTATTAATGGACTCTTCAGCAACAATTCTGCTCTTTAACCTAGAACCAGCCTTTTTAGCAATGGCTTTTAGTAGAGAGCGATCATTATCAGTGACAAATGTGACTGCGTATCCTTCCCGACCAGCTCTTGCTGTACGACCCACTCGGTGCACATATGTTGTGAGATCACGAGGACAAGCATAATTAATAACTGTCCGAATCCCAGCTATGTCAAGCCCTCGAGCAGCAACATCTGTTGCAATCAAGAAGTCTACTTCCTGTTTTCTGAAAAGTTCAAGAGAATCAAGACGCTGTGCTTGTGTAAGATGGCTATGAATCTCGGCTGCTTTTAAGCCTGCTAACCCAAATAAGATCTTCAACCTATGAGCAGCAAGCTTGGTTCCACTAAAAATGATTACTTTGGATGTGAATGTTTTTGAGCATAATGCAAGAAGCACTGCCTCATAATGTGCTTCACGCATTCTTCTTATTCTCACAACCTCCTCAGTCAAAGCTGCTGGTCGTTGGGCAGATGGATCAGCTGACAGACGTAGTGGTTTCTTTAAAGATAGTTTGACAAGCTCTGCCACCTCTTCAGTCATTGTAGCAGAAAACAGCATTGTCTGCCTCCGTTTTGAACACATATGGACGAGTTCTTGGATCTCAGCATTAAATCCAAGCTCCAAAAGTCGATCAGCCTCATCAAGAATCAAGACAGCAAGATCATCTAGATCCACAGACATTGAATTACGTAAATGGTCAATCATACGCCCTGGAGTTGCCACAACGGCATCTGGCATCGACCTTAATGCAGCCTCTTGCACCTGAGTTCATGTATGATGTCACTCAGTTATGACAGATATAGAAAAGAAGAAAGACATCTAGAACAGCCAAAACCGGAGATAGTTGAAGCCATGAAAAACTTTCAATGTTATCCGTACTAGACGTATTTAGTGAAATTGTGGTTATTTCAATTTGAACTAAGGAAATCACATAGAAACATCAAGAGGACTGAAACACACACATACATAAACAAGCATAAGCATGTAGGGGTCACAGGCTCACAGTAAAATTCACACTTGCACGGTTGCACCCAGCTCAGATAAGGACCAACTAAAAGTGTAGAACCATTGCATCAAACCAATCTCAATCAGGGACAAACTACTTTGGAATGTAAAATGGCAAACACAGAAAAGTTACTGATAGCATGATAGATAAATTGTACCGAAACAGAAAAGAGCCAATAAGAAAGTATCATAACCTTATTTGATAGCCCACCAACAATCAGGCAGCATCTTATATCTGTAAATTGAGCAAGTTTTTCTATCATACTGTGAACCCTGAAAAGCCACGTCAGAGCACTAGAGTGAGAAAGAACAGAATAACATATGTTTGAGAAAGTTTACAATTACGAATCAAGAAAAAAAAAATGTAAAGGATATACACAAAATTATGTTCCACAAAGGCCAGTATCATAGATTCTTAGGGACTCCTTCATTGCAAGTAAAAGGCAAGAAGAAGTGGAAGACAACCCTCAAAGACTTTAAATGTCATACATTGATAAAATTATTTGGAAGCTACAACCTTTTTCTATAATATGAACTAAATCACATGTCCATGGAAGAAATAACAAAAAGATATTCTGTTTCAGTCTGCTTTTAAGTATTTTGATAATCAGGGATTCATTTAATTTATTGATTACAAATCCAATAAATGAATGGGAGTATATATAATTTTATTAACTTAATAAGGAAAAAGGAACTTTGTTTGAGGATATTGCAACATAGCAACAAAGATCCTAATCTCAGAGACAAAGAAGTATTTCTTATGATACTTTTCTGGTGTATTATTCAAAAAATGTAGCACCAAAAACGAGCACTCTATCAAGTGCTCCTTACACCCCACAAAACCTTTGGGCGTTCTCCCATTCCTGTAAGGTAAAAAAATTTAGAAGTGATATTATAGTGGAATTTTTATTATAAAAAAATGAATATTAAATTAAAGCACGTAGTTTTAATCTTATTTTAACAAAACTCCCTCCGTTTTTAAATACTTGCTCCACTTTCTTTTTCCGGCCCAATACTAGCTCCATTTCCTTAATTGGAAAACTTTTACAATTATTAATTAATTTCTCTCACCAAGTGGACCCAACAATATTAATTCCATATTCTCTCTCCTTCAATTCTCTCCACTACTTTTGGTTTTTTACAATTTTTTATTCTTCCACCAAGCCCACTACCTCCATATTTTATTACTTTCTTCAATTTCTCCTAAAACTCCGCGCATGGATAAATGGAGCAAGTATTTAAAAACGGAGGGAGTAAAGAATATGTACAGGAAACTGTTTATTGATGGTGGGCAACGAAAAGAATACTTAAAAAAAATTCGAGGGGGGAAAAAGGAAAACATTAGTGGAAAGGTAATTGAGACCAACAAAAACAAAAAATTAGGAAAAGTTTGTGGTACAATTGTACAAGGATAGTATATCACTATACATTATGCAGTGATGCTTCAACAATTTGACAATCCTTTCCCCTAATAGGATGAACATCACAAACACGCAATACTTTGTTTTAGCTTTATCAGATTTTTTTAAAAGATGCTGGAGGAAAAGAATATTATCAAGGCAGCACTTTTTTAGTTTCTAATGCCGATATAAACATGCATCAAACCTCATCTTACACTTTACCATAATGATTACAGCAATGTTCAATGTGTCATCTGTAATGTCAGATCAGGACATGTTATTCACGACTATTTGATATCGCTTTAAAATGGAACCTTTATGAAAATATCAATTCATTAAGCATATAAACACATGCTTATGAAAATATACACGCAATATAATAGGTAAGAAAAGGTTTCCTCAGTTTTGTAGTTTTTTGCAAGTTATTTGGTTTACAGAAATAAAATCTTCTTGATGACCAAAAAAATGGAGTTAGTAGTGAAACTTACTGCACAGCTAGCTCCCTTGTTGGAGTGAGAATAAGAACCCTAATTGCCGGCACACGCTTTGGGCGGTATAGCAACCTCTCCAAGGTCGGCAGTGAAAAAGCTGCGGTCTACAGAAGCCGAACAGAGAGAAATATAAATAACAATTATATCCAAACCTATCATATTTTCCCCAAATAACAGAATAACGCACACAAGAGCAACCCTTGAACAATTCAAAATATTAGCAAATTCCAATCCTAGAATGCATCCTTAAACAGCAGCAATCAGCTAGCTACAATCAGATTCTTCCTTTTCTTTTCTTTCATATTAAATCAATCTAAGATAAAGCCAATAACAAACTAAGTCCAACCTTCTTTAAAAAGTTTATCTTAGAATTAAGAGCTTGTTTGATATCGTGTTACTAAGGGTTGGAAGTGGAATCAATTAACCATTTACCAAGTGTTTGGTATGAAAGGTAGGGTAACACACCCTATTTCCTAAAGGTAACCATTAATTCCTTTCTGTAAGTATACCGAACAACTAATAATAGTAGCACTTAACAACATTACCCCTTCCTCTTATTATTCGTTTACATTCCATTTCCTCACCTAGATTCAAATCAAACATGCACTAAAGGGAGCTGCAATCATGAATTCCAAATTCCAATCTTTTCAACAATAATCCTAAAACAATGAAATCAATCAATGATTTACCTTCCCAGAACCGGTTATTGCACTCGCGCAAATATCACGTCCGGCCATCGCCAATGGTATACAAGCAGCCTACGAACAACGCTTCCATTTTCAGTCATATCCCAAATACATTTGAGCTAGTAATTATAATAAAATCCTATAAATTCATAAAAATGCTCCCAAAAAAACCTGGATTGGTGTAGGCTTAGAGTACCCTAACGCTTCGCAAGCTCGAAGCAATGGCCTTGAAAGATTAAGCTCCAAAAACGATTTAGCTTGATACGAAACACCTTCAGCAGCTGCAAAGAAAGGCTTATCACTTTCAACAACATCGTTTTCATCATCATCTCCTTCGTCAGGCTTGTAATCCTCCTTATAAAATCAATCAACCAAAACCAAATTAAATTTACAATTGAGAAATGAAATTGAATTGAAAAACAAAACAGGAAGAAAAGAAGAATGAAAAAGTACTTGTTTATTGGATTCGGAGTCGGAGTCGGAGTCGGAGTCGTTAGGGAGAGAGACGACGCGCTGTTGACGAAGCTTGTGGATTTTCTGGTCGACGGAGGTGGTGTGACGGCGGGCGTGTTCTTCGGCGACGGCTTCGGAGTAGGCGGCGAAGTCCCAGGCAGATTCGGGGGCATTGTCGTCGCCGGAATGAATGTCGTCTTCGAGTTCTTCGTCGCTAGGAGGCTCGAATACGAAGCCTGAACCCATTATAGTAGAGCTCTGTCTGCTACTGCTAGGTTCAACAATGAACAAAGTGGGGATGGAGAATTGGAATGAACAAACGTTGAAAAGGGTTTTTGCGTTGGTTTTCCAGGGTTTTAGAATTCGACACAAGGGCAAAACTTCTCAATGGTGAATAGTAAAGTTTGACTCGTCATATTTGTCGAGATATAACTTTGACTATTAATATTTTTAATTCTCTATTTGTTAAAATTATCGGTTATTTCATCAAATGTTACTTAGAACTTTAAAAATTCACCAAACACCATTCAACTTTTCAGAATTCACCAAATGTCACTGACAAACAGTATAATGCCACATCGTGCCATTAATGAGGCATGGGAGCCTAGACGTTAACAATCCGTTAATGGGATTTTTAATTCACCAAATGTCACTGACTAATTACTAATTTTCACCAAATGTCATTACTTATTTAAGTTATTACACAGTATACCTGAAAAGTAACGTCTAGTTTTTTTTCAACAATTTTAAATTATTGTTGGGGCAAAGTAGCCGTTGCACACACATTCTTATATAAATGTAAGACTTAGAACACACATTGCAACCCTCCTACTTGCATAATCTTGAGTTTGCATAATCTTGAGTTTGATATCAAACACATCTTCCTCAACACACGAGTGTGCATATGTGCGCGTTCTAAACAAATTTTGCGGTTGTGGCATAAAATACACGATTAGAAGTTCGGAGTCAACATCAAATCCACAAAGGCTTTATTACAAGTGTGACTTATGTAATAGCTTCAAATGGTGCAAAGTTTTGAAGCCGCAAGAAGGTCAAAGTACGGGAAGCTACTATGATAGGGATGGACCGGGACATAGCAATTTGCATGATGAATTGAAGCAATTGAAGAAGAAAGTGAAACAACAGCAAAAAGTTCTCAATTTTGTTTTGAAATTAGGTGTATTGATGTGTGTAATATTTGTGATTGTAATGATGAAGTGAACAAAATGTAATTGCAATGAAATTCAATAAAGTGTTACTTTGAACATGTCTTTTATAATTCTTCCTGTTTCAATCATATTCATCCAAAAAATAAGGCCACTGTTCACCCAAAAAATTAAGGCCACAGTTGACAATGTATTTCCAAAAATTTACACAGAATATTTCCCAAAAAAAAACCAACACAACACAGCACACATTGGAATTTTAATGTTAAAAAACTAGACTCCATTAACAAGTATGATGTGCATTCAAAAGTGCAGGGGTTTGGAGTTCAAGCAAGCTTTCTTTGCTCTCTTCTTGGGCTTTGAAATGCTTGCTTCAGCTTCTGCATTGTTGTTGTTTGCTGCACTTGTTGCTTCAGCTGCTGCAATCTTTTTCTTTGTTGCACATGTCAACATGTTGTGGCCATCAAGCCACACTCTACTCATTAGACTTGTTCAGTCAGTATCATCAACCAACACATTAAAACCCTGATCTTTATAATGGACATCAAGCCACACTCTACTCATCCTATCATCAATAAATGACATATTACTTTGCTGAACATCAACACACATCATGCATTCATATAGGCAACCACATAACAAAGCCAACACATACCAATACAGACATCGCCAAAATTCTATTTCAAGGAGTTCACAATCAAAAATCATAACAATGCCAAATCAACACCCACAAATAACATTTTCAACATGAATTTTAACATTAAATAACACAATTCAAGTCAAATAACCACATTACACTGGTCATTTTAGAAAACCCTAACCCTAACTCAATTTTCGCAAAAAAAAAAAAAGTCAGATTCAAAACGCAAAATGCAGAATGAAAGTGAGATTATTACCTTGCTTGCTATCTCCAACACCCTGAAAGAATTTCAACTCACGCGTTTTCCTTCTACTTCCTCCAGTACTTGTCACTTCTCTTTTGGTTTGCCCAGGTTTAGCAACAGATAAATCTTCAATATTTTTGCGTTTTTCGTTCAGGAGAAGAAGAAAACTTCTTCTTTGTTTATGGATTTGAGGCTTTCAGTGATGATGAAAGCTCAAAGAATAGAGGAAGGGAGTGGAAGAAGAATGGGGGGAATTTTTTTTTTTTTGATCGAAATTGAAGAAGTCAGAGAGTCAATGCACTATAAGGCGTCATTAAACACAATAAAGGGCATATAGGTTAATTCGCATTAACGGAGTGTTAACGTACAGGCCTCATTAATGGCGCGATGTGACATTATACTATTTGTCAGTGGCATGTGGTGAATTCTGAAAAGTTGGATGCCATTTGGTGAATTTTTAAAGTTCTCAGTAGCATTTGATGAAATAGCTGTAAAATTATACTTCGTATTATGAAACTAGATATTATGACCAATCTAATGATATATAATATAATATGGAGTAACATTTATTTGATTTATAGGGTGAAAAAATTAAGTCAACCATGATATATGAATAGTGCAATTGTCAAAGTGATGCATTTAAAAATAAATGGAGGGAGTATTATCTTTGGTAACACCGAATTTATTATTTTAAGCTAATTATAACATTAATGATAAATTTTTAAATATCTAACTATAGTTAGTTTTTTTTTCTTTTTTATACATTTTAAATGGTTTTAAAAATAATATTTTTTATTTAAAGTCACCCCATTTCAGTCGCCGGCAGTGGTGTTGCTGCCTACTAGTGGCTAGGTGAGGGGTTATATCTTTTTATTTTTTGGGGGTTAAGGTTTTATATTAACCATGGTTAGTGAATTTATATTAAAATAGATATTCTCTTTGATAATCAATAATTTAGGTTTACCAAAGATAATAAGATCTTTTGTAATTCACCACTGAAAAAATAAGTATAGTGTTACCAAAGAAAATTTCCTTTTATTTATTAAAAATGGGAATTTCGACTCTATTATTGACTTTTCCAAGTTCTAAGGGTGCTTATGATTTTGTGAGACGAGACAACTTACGAGCTATTAGAGCTTGAGATTGACTCAAAAGGTTTATGAATCGAGTTGACTCAAAAGCTCGTTAAAACTTGAATTCCTTCGTACGATATTATATATAGTAAAAGAAAATTTAATTTAATTTTTTTATAATAATAATTAATAAATGTATATTATTTATGTGGTCATATGATCATATGTATATTTTTCAAAAGACAAAATCAAAGAGAAGGAAGAAATGTTACACAAAATAGGGGGTTCTATGAAGACGGATCAAATTGCAAGCTACTCGACGTCGACTCGGTTAAATTTGGTCAAATCTTGATTTGATCAAAGCTCAGCTTGATATTTTAACCAGTCGAGTTGAGCTACCCCAAACTCGAACTCGACTCACATCATAATAAGCGCTCCTACCAAGGTGTGGCCCGACCCTCTTTTTGGAAGTTAGGCCTTGTTCACTTCACCTTACAAAAATAATATTAAGTAAAAATAATTTCAATTCAGTAAAAATAAGTTTAGTTTAGTAAAATTAATTTCAGTTCATTAAAAATAATTTCAATTCAGTAAAAATAAGTTTAGTTCAGTAAAATTAATTTCAGTTCATTAAAAATAATTTCAATTCAGTAAAATTCAGTTTAGTTTAGGAAAATTCGGTTTTCTTAAAGAAGAAATATAATACAAAATCAGTAAAAATAATTTTAGTTCAGCAAAAATAATTTCAGTTCTATAAAATTAGTTTAAGTTCAGTAAAAATAATTTAAGTTCAACAATTATAATTTGGTTTCGGTAAAAATAATTTCAGTTCAGCAAAAATAAGGTGAAGTGAACAGGGCCTTACATATTGTGATCCGCTTGTCTAAACAAAAAAGTGCATAGTAACCTACATTAGTGTTCATTCATGACGAACGTTAAAGGGGTATTTAATTCGTCACCTAACACTCCCTTTTTTCTATACCTTTCTCTCTTCTTCAAATTAAATTCCCTCGCTAACTTAGTCTCTATTTCATTTATTCATTCCACTCTAATCATAAACCCTAATTTGCGAAACACAAATTCCTGAAGCGAATGAAGATTTTGTAGTTGTATTAGTTGAAAAAAGCTTTCCTTAAGTTGCAATTTGTTGTTAGTGGGTGGCTTGCAATAGCATCGTGCATTTATAAATTCCATGCACAAGTCGAATTTCAAGGGAAGGAGCAGCAAGACTTTGTTATTGACATGATTTGATGTGAGGAAGACAACAATGAAACCCTAAAAAAAGTCACAGGAGAAAGGGAATTAAATAAAAGGAGGAAGAAGGCCAGATCTATTCATTTGGAGAGAAAGTTTATTTGGAGGGAAAGTTTCCCACCCAAAAAAAAAACCTATCAAAAGCGTAATGTTGCTTTAAAAAAGCTAACGAAACCCTATTAAAGGCTACATAATAGCAAGGTCGTAATTAACTTACTATATAAACAATGACGCTATAATATGTAACTTCCAATAGAGGGGGTATAAGCCTACAACTAGAAAAAGTTGACAAGCTAAAGTCGTAATCACCTAGTCAAAAATAATTCCTAAGTCCACTAACTATGCAGATAGGGAAGAAGGATCGAACCACAGGAAAACTAGTCAATTTATTCCTAATTAATCAAAAGTAATCTAAATTATCAAGTACCTAATTTGTTATTAAAAGACCTAGGGCATAAGTTCACCAATAAATAATATTTTAGGGTAAAACATAACAATCAATCATCAATGCATCAATTAATCAAATCATAAAGGGCTTTCGCTACGTATTACAATCACAGAGTTAATTTACCGTCTTTCGAATCTCGACTTAACCATTTATAAATTAGTCTGCCCATTGAAACTAATAAGCCTAAACATCAATTCTCATCTCTCGAATATCGAATCAATATTGCATAACTCATACAACTAAACCAGGCCTAATCTAATTGCATAGCATTAAATCAATCAATAGGAAATTAATCAAGCATTGACAATCAACAATAACAAATTACCCCTTCATATTATTTATGGATCCCCACAAACCATAGAAAGGAAACTACTCACACATAATTAAATCTAAACTAATCAAATCAATTAAATAAGTCGTGATGAAATAAAGAAATAAAATTACTGAAATTAATAGAGAAGAAATCGTTACCAAAGTTAACGGAAATAATGAGTTGAATCAAGAACAAAGTATACCGTTGTAGAGAGAGAAAATTAAGCTAAGT